TCTCTTCTCTTCTCTTCTCTTCTCTTCTCTTCTCTTCTCTTCTCTTCTCTTCTCTTCTCTTCTCTTCTCTTCTCTTCTCTTCTTTCTGATGAGCCACTTCTGGTGGAGCTCAGTGCTTTTTTTTTTATTTTTTATTGTCTCACTGCAACAATCTTCACTCCTGAGGTTGACTGCTGTACTCTGATTGAAGCTAAATGATAACATACTAAAAATAGGCAGCTAAAGGCATCGAGGTGGCTTTTCTACTAGGGGAAATTAAATTTTAGGCCGCAACGCTGGATGCTGCAGCTTTTTGACCAAAAGTGGTCATTGGATTGGGTTTCCCCTCATGGCTTCCTTCCCTCCTCTGTGGAGTTCATTTTTAGCGATCAGTGGCCTAACCTGTTAGCGCTGCCACAGCTCACCATACATGTGTTTAAGAAAAATAAGTAGGAGATATGTTTGTTGATCTGCCAGGGGAAAAAAAGAGAGAAAACGGGTGGGAGAGCATCGGTGGCGAGTGGGAAGAGCGAGAAGAGATGCTTAGGATTTGCCTTTGGATGTGAGAGTCTGCTTTATCGTTGCATGTCCATGGGCATCGGTTTATTCCCACGCCCTCTTTTGAAGTGTGGAAAATGGTTGCCAGTCAGCAGCCTTCGGAAAAATAAATAAATAAATAAACATAAAAAACTTCCTCTCTTTGGTGGATGTAGATATTTTTATATTTATACTTATTTATTTAGCCAGAGGGCATTAAGCGGAGTGATGCTGTGTGGCCCAAGGCAGCGTCAGGATACTGGCTGTCTCAGCTGGCTTGTTAGTGAGGTGTCAAATGCTTCAATTTCTTTACACACGCACGTATGCGCACACACTCTGCTCATCCAGGCCACATATACACAGTCATTAAAGCAATGTCGGACTTGTGCCAGCATCTTTTTAGCATCCAAGACTTTAGCCCTTCTTGGATGTTTACAAATCCCGTAATGGACAAAAATGTAAAGTCCACTTTCACTGCGGTGTGAGCATGCTAAAATAGAGAAATACAATCAACTCAGAGGAGGAAATTGTAGTTTAAACTACAATAAAGGCTGCCACCAGTGGTTATGTTATATAATTGATTAATGTTAACTGATAACTATTTAATTACAGGAAATTAAAAAAAAAAGTGGCCTGTGTTGATGTCCAAGTCAGGTAAAAAACGTGATAATTCCATAACATAAAGAAAAGCAGCCAATGCCCATTACTAAGAGGCTACATGTGTGTGATGTCTGTCTTTTTAAAGAAAAAGGACATTGAAGGATTTATCAGAACAGCTGACAGTTTACCTGCATACCAGCTCTGGTTGGTATTTATAATATTGATTCATCATCTTGGCTTCACAAAGCTTTCAATTTCTTCCTGCAATCCGTTATTGTTAATGCATGTACCGGTGCTGTGAGTGAGGGCAGGCACTAAACGCTCTTGTAATTACTGTATCCTATTATTGACAGGCAAATAGATGCTTTCTTGCCAAGAAATTGATCAGTACAAGATTGGTATCTTTCTCATTCCTGCTTTTAGTGATGTAGCTGGAAAAGGCAGGCAGTAAGCTTCAAACAGCTTGCATAGCTGTTCTCCAAAAAGTCAAACTGAATTAAAAAGCTGCATCCATAATTGCTCTGTATTTACAGTCATGTCAAATGGTTTTCACCTGACATGATAGAGTCCTGTGGAGAAACTGCTTCTTATCTATACCTTGTGATTAGCTCACAGAACCACTATTTAGCAGCATTAACTTGAACCAGTTGTTTTTTGCATGACTTTATCAGTGTCTCACTCCTTGTGGAGGATTTTTTCCCCAGTCTTATTTGCAGGATTGCTTCAGTTCATTGAGGTTTGTAGGCATTTGTTTATACGCAGCTCTCTTAAAGCCCCACCACAACATTTCAGTCAGGTTGAGGTCTGGACTTTTTTACTGGCTCATTGCAACATTTTTATTCTTTTCTTTTTCAAATATTCTGTTGCAGATTTGCTGGTGTGCTTGGGATAATTGTCGTGCTAGCACAACCTTTATCTGTCAGAAATATGGTCTCACGAGAAACCCTAGAATACTTTAGTATACAGAGGAGTTCATGTTCAGACTTGGTGACTGCAAGGTGGCAATCGTAGCTCCTCTACTACCATGCTTGACAGCTGGTATGAGGTGTTTGTGCTCACATGCTGTGTTTGGTTTTCTCCAAATCAGACATTCTGCATTACAGCAAACGTCTCCAAGTTGGTCTCAGCTGTCCAAAGGACGTTGCTCCAGATATCTTGTGGTTTAATCAGATGCAGCTTTGCCAGGGTGCCATGTTCTTTTTAGAGAAGCTGTCCAAACAAGTCACACTTGTTCAGTCTTTTTCTGATTCTGCTGTCATGAACTTTAAACATGCCCTCTGAACATTGCACAGTCTGAGTTTTTGGGGATGCCCATTCCTGGGAAGATTGTAGCTTAGTTTTAACCGTAAACTAAATGCTCCAGAACAGCAAGCTTACCAAACCTTCCACTTTTATAGAGGTGCAGTTTACCTGGCTGCAGTTTGGATGTACTTTGTTTCTCTCAGGAGTCCGGTGAGAAACTTTACTTTTCACATGACTGGATCTGTTTAGTGAATTACTTAGGCCGTTTCAGTAGACGCAAAGTATGGTACAAGGCCTCACAAGAAGTAGCGTACAACTGATGGTCATTACCCAAGCATGGAATAGAAAGAAAACCATAAAAACATAGACAGGTGAGAGGAAGAAGATTGGCGCATCCAAATGTAAATGGCTGCAAAATTTGTTTTTATATTGCCAAACTGCGCTGTCCAAGTGTCCAATAGTTTTTGTGTTTAGCCAAAGAGCTCACAATACAAGACTTTCATAGAATTGCCTGAATGCAAGTAGTGAATGAGTGCATGATTTGATACAATAAAAGGTCTGCCCACCCGTGATAACATGATTACTTGTGCATATGGCTGCCCGAATATAAAGCTGATAACTTCCACTCAAGGCAGTGTTTACTTCCTGTTTTTGCTCTGATTTTTATTCTAAAAGTTCTGAGTCAAAGTGGCGATTCACATCATCATCGCTCTGATTCTTCTTTCAGGATGTTGACAAGCTCACCGCCGTTCTTTGTCTGCCATCCTTTTCCCAGTTACAGAACCTCCAAGTCTTCCTTTGTGCTTTTTCTCACTTCATGATAAATTAAGTTTAGAGCGTGAGCCGTTTCTTTAATGTTGCTATCTGTGCATTCTTCTGAAAAGCACATCATATGCCAAATTAAGATGAATTCAGATGGCCAGCCTGTACTGCGCTTCGTTTTCAGCTGGTTGGAGGATAGAAGGTAGCAACAGAAGATGGATGTCTTCATTCGTTTGACTCTGTTGATGTTCTGCCAATTCACTGGAACCAATCAGTTTACTACCAGATAAATAAATGATCAGTGAGCGATTGATAACATCTGGAAATCTCCTTTTTTCTTTCATTATCTTTTTGCATCACACACACACACACACACACACACACACACACACACACACACACACACACACACACAATGCAAATTCAGTTTCCAAAGTGTTAAAAATCGGTGTTTAATGTGAGCATACCTTCGGCTGTCCCCGTCATATTAGATACTGGCTCAGTGAGGAGATTTATCAGTTAAATGGAGATTGATTTTTAGCTGACATGTGGGAATAACCTGCATGAAAGTGATAACCCTGGGCTCTCTGTCCATTTAATGGCAACATGAGCCATTTGTTCCTTTACCAGGATGTAGAGAGTGAGCCATACTTCACTCCTCCCCGTCTCACTCTCAGGTTGTGGCTTCAGGCAGTGCAAAATTACCTTAACTGTAGAGCATAGAGAAGACATTAACTATAAGCCTGTTTAACCTGAATGCGGGGGCTTTCTCTTGCCGTCTGTTTCCCTATCGTTTTAAGTTTTTGTTCTGTGGATTTCCATCACAGCTCGCTCTCTCATGCTGTTTCGATCAGTGGAGTTTGTGAGTGGGTTGTGATAGATACGGCTCCTAACTCCTAAGGAGGTGACTGCGGCGAGTTCAGAGCAAAGAAGCACAAATAACGTCGAAACCACAGGGACGGTGATCATTTTTAGAGGACTCCTTTCAGTCTTAGCTTGTCCTGAGTTTACCTTTGCTTCAGTTTAAGGCTAAACTTGCTTTCAAGTTTAGTGCAGTTCCTTGAGTTGCAAAGAAGACAAGACTTTTAAAAGGGATCGATGATGGTTCACCTTTTAAACCCCAAGGACGCGTTATAGTCAGAAAGGCTGTTGTTTGAATTTGAGGTATTTTAATGCGGCTATGTACATGTTTGTGTTTTACCCCAGAAGGGTAGATACCGAGCCGTTTGAATTTCCCCTGAGCTCACTCTCACTGGAGAGATGAAAGAAGACTCGGCATGTGACTAATTGCACTGTTGGCTTTACAGGATTAGAGAGAGAGAGAGCAAATAGAGAGAGCGAGAAGGAGTAGCAAGACCAAGGACACCAACATGTGCCTGGGCGTATGAATATTAATGTGTGTGTTGCAAGCTTGCAGAGGAAGCAGTTGGAGAGAGGGGCAGTTTGATGTTAGAGAGAGAGAAGACTTGAGCAAGAAGCTCAAATTCACCAAAAACCTATTAAGAAGAGCCGCCTGCTTCACATCAAGTACACTCAGAAAGTTTATATAACACGCTAAGCATGCTCCAGTGTCACATGAATAATGCTGAATGCAAACAATCAAAAGGTTGTAATCAGCTTTATTAAGTATTATTATGTTAAAGGAATTGCACAAGTGTTTTATTCACCTCTGCTCTTCTGAGCTTTTAATAGTTCAACTTTTTGATTCACTTACACTGCTCTCATCAGTGGTGCTTTTGGGCAAACAAAAAAAGCCCTAACTGGACAGTACAGATGATGTCTAGCAGCTAAGGAAAGCAGCATTTTCTTCAGGATTTTGCCCAAAACAGCTCTAAAGCAAGAGTAAATGGAAACTAGTGTGTGAAAATAGTGCCAACGCTGACAATAAATCAGTCATTGCAGACTTCAGATATAAGTTTGTCTCATGTGGTGCACCGGTTCTGCCAGCCAGCCCATTGCCCACTGTGCTGTTTGCATGCTGGAACACACTATTGAGAGTCATGTGGATTTCAGATACAATTTGCTGTGCTTGCTCCTGGGAAGCCAGAGCAGAGCAAAACAGGGAAACATTTGAAAAACCCTCATGCTCGTCTTCTAAATACAAGTTGCAATGATAAAATTCTGTTACTTTTCACATAAAAAAACCAAAAACCATACTGTATTTAAATTTGGCTGTTCTCTCCTCGAAGGTCGTCTCCTCGGACTGCTTGTAGCCCACTTGTAGACCTCAAACTTGTTCAGAAAGGGAAAACTTTAGTGTCAAATTAACAGACCTTCAAATCAATAACCATGACAGCTAGGTTATGCCGAGAAGGAAATGCTAATCTCTTTTAAACGTCAAATCAGTCATGGAGTTGTGCACTGAGAATTCACTCCAGATGATAAGATGGTGCAAAGCTCTTCTGTAATGTCCTAAAATTTTATGCTGTTTTGGCCACATGAGTATAGTCTTTGATCACCACCCGCCCTACACGGTAGATTTGGCTCGCTGCGATTTTGTAGTCTCTCCAAAATGAAATTTAACTTGAAGGTTTGTTGTTTTATAACCACTCCTCCATAAGCGAAGAAGTCTGAACAGTGTTGTCACATCAAACACTCAGTTTTTCTATCTTTTAAGAAAACTTTAAACCATAGAGCTACTGAGCTATTAATACAAACAAGCTTAAGTTGTCTCTAAATAAAAAGACTGCCTACCATCAACAAGCAACCTGACATCTTTAAAACATCTTTCCAAGATGGGACTTTACTAACAGGGTTTAAAAAATAAAGCAAACCAGTGCAGTATAATTCAGGGACTTCAGGCACACAATATCAGCTTTTCTCCACTTTGGTCTATTGACGCCCAACTGGAAGCCTTGTTTCTATTGACCGCTTGGGTATTAGTCACAGCGCGCAGTGGTCAAAGTTTAACTAGCCCTTTGATCAGTGCACTGACAGACCATCGTAGCCCAGTGCAAGCCATTGGAAATAATTGGATTCAGAGTGCAGTGGTGCTGCTGTAGTCTTTTCTGGAAGTCCGATGAGGCTAAAGCATTAGCAGCAGCTCTTAAACTGCATCATAAACTGCTTTTATTAAACAATTTTTTAAAAAAAAGAGAGAAATGGATCTAATTCTAATCAGTACGACTGCTCATTATTACTCTTACCCTGTTGTACCCAGTTCTGCCACTTGTGATGAAAGCTGACACACAACATTTCAGCCCCTCCTTGAATTCAAGTGAAGCAGAAAGTGGAGAGTACAGGGAGGTCATGCTCTCTCGGAAAATACTTGTGCAGCAGTGGAGAGAACAGACAGCCAGAGAGTTCTGCCGAAAAGTCTTCTGACCTTTTGGTAATTTGTCCCGGGTAGTCAGGTTCGCCTTATTTGTGGTGACAAGACTGTCAGGGAGCGACTGAGGAGTGGATTCAAGGAGTGAAATGCAGCAAATAAATGAACGAATGAGGCTGCTGCCTGTCAGCTAGCCTAAATGTTTGGCCCTGGAGTAAACATCTGTAATCTCCTCTTGTCCTCTGTCATCATTTTACATGAAATAAATGTTAGTACAGTCTTTCAATTGTACTAACATTTTCTTTGCCTCTGCATAGCCTTAAACCCTTCCACTCGCTTTAAAAGATAAGAGCATTTAGTAAAATATTAAAAAATATATTTCTCAGGTTTGATGGGTGTGTGTGTGTATGTGTTTGCCAACAGCATGTAGCACCAGATAAGAGGACCTTCTTCAGCCTCAGTGTGCCATCCTTCCCTGCTGGCACTGACTACTCAATAATTTAACACCCTTGCTGTCAAACACTTCAGCTAAACCCCACCAACTAAATATACAGCTTCCTCCAAGCAGAAAGAGGCCACAAGGTCACCTTTCACACGAACACGTCACATGACATCACGCTGTGCGTGTGGTGCTTCTTAGAGGAGGTCTCAACTTGAGAGTCATTCGCAAAGTTTTAGCTTTGCGATGCTCTCCTTTTCTTTGTCCCCCACCACCTCACCCACTCTTAATCGGGCAGGGCTAGTCTGAGCTGTGATGTTGCTATATGGTGGGTTTGGTAATAGAGCTGTTGTGTTTTGGTGACAGCCCCCCCCCCAACCACCCGTCTGTCACCCTGTTTTCCCTTTATCACCCTTTCAATCCCCTCTTTCCGACTCCTCCTCTCTCCGAGGGGGGTTGGCAGTGAGTGAAAGCCACACAAGCTCTTCGTCTTCAAGGCCATGTCAACCTGTCCCTCCCGCTGCCATGCCAGCTGCTTTCCACGCTCATGGTGAGCAAGAATGCTACCCCATGTGATGCTTTCCCCTAGTTTTAAATACCAAAAGATGCATTCAAACTATAGCTTTAAAATCCAGTTTCAAACATAGAAAAGCTACAAATCTTGCTCTGAATTTACAATGCTCACCTACAGCAGCACTCAAAAGAAAATGCTATTAGACTGTCTTATGTGTGTTTCTAGGTGATTAACAGTCTCTAAATCTAATCACATGGTTGGAACCCGGCTGCTGCATTTTGTTTTTGAGAGGGGCTGCGTTCACATGGATGGCTGTTATATAAAGCGCTGAAGTGAAAAAATGCTCACACAGCATTGTCTACAATTTGAATCCAGCTCCAGAAGCCTAACCCTGTGTGCGAGCGCCAGCTACTCAATTGTTTGTTTGTCTGCGTGTGATTGGGAAAATAGACGAGTCAGTTGGAGTTTGCCTGCTCGCTGGCAGTGAAGGATGGCGGGAGAAGAATGTTGGCTAAGAGGAGGTAGCGAGCTGCAGCTGTTCAGAGTTAGCAACATTGGTGTGATTGTGTGCGCAAAAAGCCTGAGCCATGATATTTGTATAGCTCACAGTTGTGGCTCTTCCTCCAATTGGACCTGCGGGTAGGGCAGGTGCATCCTCCTAAAAAGAAAACAGGCCTGCTGGATGTGTGCCACTGCCTCTTATCAGTATAAATGCCCAGATGTGGAGTGAGCCAACTTAGATAATTTTTAAGCTTCCAAGGTCTCTCATAACAAACTGTCAAACCATTAAGCAATTTTCTTAACCAGCTCAGGGTTGCAGGAAGGCTGGATCTACCCATTCGGGTGAAATAGGGCGACAGGCCACCGCACACTCTCACATCCATCAATTTACCTGGGAGGAAATTAGCTTACCTGGAGGAAACCCACAGGGAGAACATACAAACTCCACACAGAAAGGCCCCAGCCAACCACCCGGCAGGTTCAAGCCCAAAGCCTTGTTGCTGTGAGGCAACACAGAGTTAACCACTTAATCCTTGTTGCCCATAAAAGACTGAATGGTTTGTTTTTTTTATTTATAAAATGCGATTTCTCCCCTATCTCAATTTGAATTTGTTTTTTTCTTTTTTTGTCTGTGTGTGTATATTTAAAGTTAGCATGCTGCAGCTGGTCTGCCAAACACATGTGCTGCACACATACTGGATCTACCCAGACAAAAGGAATGCAGCTGATATGAATGTTTGATTATTACACATGGTTTCTATTCAGGGGAAGAACGGTGAGCTACAAACCTTGGAATAAACCCGGCGGTGAACCAATCCTGAGCCAGGTTGTCTTTAATTTATGCTATAAGAAAAGCTCATGGGATATGATAAAAAAGACCAGAATGTCATTAACTTGTGCTTGTGATTAAAATTGGGAGGCAGAGGGACGTTATGCACACATTTGTGTGTGTGTGTGATGTCCATTCATTCCCAGGCAGACGATCTATGTTTGTATATCAGGGTCTTGCTGGATCTCTGCCATGAAATCTTGATTATGGCCCTTTGAGATTCATGATTGTAGGATTTTTTTCCCCTCATTCCCCCTGCACAACACTCCTCAATGAGTTTCCTGTTAAAAAAAAAAGAAAAGGAGGCACTAATCTAAAACTAGTAAGGCTTTTGGGTGAACAATCTGCTCTGCAATCTTTAGATGAAGTTGTTTATTCTAAAGAGCAAACAGATGAGGTTGAAGATATAATTGGAAGGGAAAAATGAGGACGGTGTAGAAGGGTAAAGAAGCAGATTGAGGCTTTTTTTGTAAACAGACTGGGGAAACGTGTACATGTTCATTAGAGTAACTGCAATAAATAAACTTAATAGGATTGCGAGTTAATTCCAATCTTTATTGGTCTGACCTTTTTTGTTTGTGTAATCTTAAAGCATGCCAGCAGGGACTGAAGGGCACTGCAAGTTTAGAGCAAGGCCTGCACGTAGCCTGTCTGTGGAAGTGTGAGCTACTGAGTGCATATATGAAGCCTCATGAGGTGTTGTTGGTCTCATTCAGAGAGTCTGAAACAGGTTGGTGATATCCTCTAACCCTAGTGACCTAAATTAGCTTCATTTTTTATAACAGCACCAAGTGCTTTCTGTTATAAAAAATGTAATGGCTTTTTTCTTGTTTAAAACTATCATTGCTTTACATCTCAGTATGTACCAGCATTTAATACTAATGTGGAACTGAAAACATCCATCTATTACTTTCTTCCTCTTTTCCTGTTCAGGGTTGCAGGGGGCAGCTGGAGCCTATTCCAGTTGCCGTAGTTCAAGAGGCAGTGTACACCCTGGACAGGTCACCAGTTGGTAGCAGGGCTAACACAGAAAGACAGACAACCATTTGTGCTCACATTCACACCTGCAGCCAATTTATTATCACCAGTTAACCTAACCCCGCTAACTGCATGCCTTTGGACTGTGGGGAAGCCATGGGGACATGGGGAAAACACGCAAACTCCACGCAGAAAGACCCAGGCCAAGAGGTGGATTCAAACCCACTGTGGGATGCAACAGTGCTAACTACTGTGCTGCCCTGAAATTGCGACATACAGCTTTCAAATGGATAACATGTTGATTGATGACGCAGACTTAATAAGTAAAGCTACAAGTTTGAAAACAATGAATATTAAAAAGTGTGTGTCTTTTGTGAAGGCGTACACACTTCAGCCAATGTACCCAAGTGGAAAAATGAAAGGGTTACAAATGTTCAAAGGTTTTGATATTGCTTCTTTTATTTTACCACCCCCCCCAAGTAATCATTCAGATTTAAAAACAACAGATCTTCACAGTGAAGGACCTTGATCCAGAGTGTTTGTGTCCATGCTTGAAAAATTACTCTGAATAAATTTTTTAAAAAAAATTACTAATTTGACCAAGAATTTAAGATCTTTCTGATTTTTAGTGTGGTTTTGGTGAGTCATTGGCCCCAAAATAGTTATTGGAATAATATAAATTAAACTGTGGCAATGTGATGACTGCATACTGCCACATCCACTGGTACACTGCCAAACAGGGCAAACATTTCACTGTTGTTGGAAAGTTTAGTTTTCTTGCCCTTGATTTATGTAACACAATCAGAGAGGCGTCTGATCACTCTCAGATTCATTCTGTGGCCAGTTTTCTGAAATCCTTGGAACAATCATGTACTGCTGCCTCACTCTGATGATTGACCGAGAGCAAATCTGTTATGCAAAATATAACTTCAAATCCTTTTTTATTTAACATACTATTTATGGTCTTTTAAGTCTCATTTTAGTAGTTTGCCTAAAAAAGTTTTGCAGAATACTACATCCTGTGTCGATTAAAGGATCTTTCCTTCCCTGTGCTCTGGATCATGGGCTGGTGATGGCTTTGGATGGATGGGTAGTTTTAGAGGCAGATAAGCAGGAATAGTAATTGATTACTGTGGTGCAGAGGAACCTTATAGGGATAATGCTAACACCTCAAGGCTCACAGGATCCCTGCACTCTTCAACTCTGAGCTGAGGCTATAAGGAGCAGAAGAGACAGCAGGGCAGGTTAGATTTACCATAATCCCACTGGGGATAGTGGGATTAAATTCTCTCTGTGGATTCTTATTCTTTTTTTACATCATCCACATCCTGATCATTTGTATGTGTTTAATTGTTCAATTAAGCTATCTTTTCCTTTCTGGGGGGCTTTTTTTTTAGATTTCTCTAACCCTGTATCTGCTTAACCGTCCAGTACCTTCATCTTACCCAGAGAAATATGTATGTTGCCTTCTTCCTGAGTTGATTTAATGAGTTTATCCAGAAGCAGAACTGGTAGCTATACTAATGCTGCTCAGAAGGGGAGAGATGCTTTATTGAGGGTGAGAGAAAAAAGGGGAAAATAATGGCTTGGTTGAAATGTGCCTTTATTTAGGGAAGGAGAGAGAAGGAGGACAGAAAGAGAGGGAGAGAGTTGCGGAGATGAGAGGGACTGACAGACAAGCTGAGAAATAAAAATGCTCCTGGCTTACAGAAGTATAAGTGAAGATAGTGGAAGAGGGAGCTTAAAGCTGCTGTTTGGAGGTGGAGAAAAGGCGGGCAAGAAACTATTTCTTTCAAGGGAGATGAGGATAAAACCGGATGGGCTGAAAGGCAGTGCCTTGCTCGGAGCCTAAAGATTTTCCAGGACGGCAGCAAAACTCCTGTTTGCACCATGTCTATGTAGGTTCACAGACTTAAGGAATCTGTCTGAAGAAAAGAGCTGACAGAAGCTAAACATAGCAAGTTACAAGGCTGAAGTGCCAGTGGAGCTTTATCATCTTTTGATCATAAGTCTGCCAGACCGAAGGCCACGGCACCATGGGGCAGTTCCTCCCCCTCAAGAAAGCATGCCGTACTTTTCCACCTCTTTCGGCCTGTTTTTCATCTCCTCTCTCACACTTGCTCTGTGCCTCTGTTGACCTTTCCCTACAGTAACTGTCTCTGTTTTCTCTCCCTCTCGTCCCCTCCCTTCCATCGCTGCATCCACTCCCCCCCTTCCTTCCGCCTCACCTACTCATCTCTTCTCACTTTTGGATCCCCTCGTGATCCCTTTTGTCCGCAGAAACAGAAATCAAAGTCTGTCATTCGCCCCGAGTGTCTCCAGCTTCGTGCTGGAGGTGCAGCTGGAGGTTGTGTGTGAGGGAGGAATTGGGAACAGTGAAGGACAGGGTTTCTTCGTCTGCATCACAGACTTGATTGATCTGTTGAACTATTTTAGGTGTGATTGTCTATTACATACTCATATCCCTCACTGTATGCTGAAATGTTTAAAGTAGGTTTTAAAGCAGATATTCCCCTCTGCTTCTGTTTTTTTGCCAGTGATGTCTCGTTTTTCTTTTGTGTTTTCCCCATTGCTATTCCACCTGTCTTCTCATTTTTTGCTCTATTACCTGGTGTGTCTCTCGCCACCTTGCTATATCTATTTCCCCCCTTCCCTTTGCTTTTATACCTCTGTCCCCCTCCTCATCATCCTCCCTGCACCCCCTCGCCCCAGCCCACAGAGTCACCTTATCTGTCTGCAGTCTGTCTGACTTATTTATCACTGCTCTGAAATATTAAAGAGTCTGCTTCCTCTAGTCTTGAGGAGAGTCCACCTTACTTGCAACACGTGCATGCGCATACACATACACACAATGTAAATTATAGTGTTTCCAAAGACAGCACAGCGCTACACATCCTGTCTTTTCAGAGTCTCCTCTTGGCTTTTAGAGACTGACAGACTGCACATGGCATGCTGACAAATTCTGCTCCTTTGAGACCTCTTAGGTACATGTATGCTGTCAGAAAGACTTTTGGCATTTGGGCTTGAGTGACTGCAAGCCAGTGGTACATATGCCTGTTCCTGAACACCAATTAGCATGAGCTGATCTCGCCATACAAGGGAGTCCTGACTCATGTGAACAAGTAGGATAATTGCTGCTGGTCGCTTTATGGAAACTACAGACTTGTGTTCAAGAGCTGGAAAAAGCTCCGCTTCCGTCACTCACTACTGTAATTCTCAAGAAGTAAAAAGCATCAGCGTGAGGTGCTCCATGGATAGTCAAACAACAGATGTAACCTTTCCCTCCGCACTTTCTGTCTTTCTTTTATTTTGTTCACATCACTATTAATATCCCTGAAATGTTAGCGCAACACCACGAAAGCCTCAGAGAAGAGACTGTCTGAAGGCGCGAGGTACTTCCAAATTTGTGTCAAGAAAGCATGAAGCATCAAGCCATGAAGTCTTACAAGCGTATTTTATTTGTTGTTGAACTTGTGAAAGAGCCACATCTGTGTTCCTAACCCTAACAATAAAAGACTAAACATGGTGCCACATCTGGTCAGACACCCAGACTTTTTCCCTTATTCTGCCTTAAGGCACTGTAAACCTGCACATGTTTTTTATGTTTTGATCTTCTATGTTGAGTACATTGAGTTTACATGTCATGAAATGTGCTTTTTTAAAAAATGCCATTGCCACCTCTAAATACACTGGACACTACACTGCTTCCATGTTCCTCCTGCTTGTCAAACTCCATGCAAGCAAGCTTGGGAAGCCTGAGAGTGACATAAGACTTTTAAAACACTGCTTAGAATCACTGAGATGTGTAATGTGTCTTTTTTTTTTTCTGGGTCATCGTTTCAGTCCAGTCACTGTTTCAGTAAGGCTCAGGTGATGTCACAGTTGTTTTAAGCATGTCTTTCTGCAATTTGTAGTATGCGCAGCATGAGCAGCCTGAAGGATATGCATGTCTACACACACCGACACATGGAGAAGGACAGAGGCTCATGGTGGCTTCTATTCTTAGCAGGCAGTCCCATGGGGGTGCAGTGGTGTCTAAGGCTGGAAATGGTGAGCAGGCCAAAGCGGTGTGGGTCTGCACCATGATGGTTCTGCACCTGCTGTGGAAACTGGGCTACCTCGAAGCCCGGTGGCCCAGCGCCTGCTGGCTTTGTCACTACGCCCACAGCTCTCTCTTTCTCCAGGCATGACAACAAATACGCAAAAAGTCAAAAGGTTGCAAACCAAAAATTAACAAAAATGATTAGAAGCTTGTTCATCCAGAATTATTCCCCATGAGGCAAGCTTATGAGCATCAAGTTAATTTATCACCTGGGCCATAAGCAGATATTTTGGACACTTTCCACGCAGAGCTTATTGAACATGGCTGGTCCAAATGGCAACAGTATAGTTTTTGAGCTGTAATGGGCAACATTTAGGATTGTTTTGGAAATTGGGCACCGAGTTCAGAGTTTGGCTACGCATCTTGTCCTCATTATTTTGGACGGGAACTTGGCTATGCTGAAGTTTTGAGCCATCGTGGAGCTGCATGTGTCATCGTCACAACCCCTTCATCTGTCATTAAACTGTTTACCTCTTAAATCAGTGTGACCTGAGGGAATAAGTCATGTTTAAGCTACAAATAAAGGGAAAACATTAGCATCGGTGGGGTCACTGAGTCAGGGAGAAATTTGTTGTGTTGCTTCCAGACTGTAACAGATTCAGTCTTGTTTTTTTCTCCAGATTGAAGAAGACTAGTGTTGAACGACACACTGATCCTGAATCAGACTTTTTGGTTCTCCCCCGGCATCCGTTCCTCTCAGCAAGAATATCCTGTGCCAGTATGTGGGAGGGGTTGCCCCACAAGACTGTCATTCAGACTAATATGATGCACAATCTACCTGCGTCTCCCTCCTCGTATTTGGCATGACTCACAAAAGTGGGCACTTCTCTTCAGTTTATGTATCTCTCTAAGTTCCTTTCCGCTTTATTGGTCCCGTATTCTTAACTTTACAGTGCAGTCGTGTTTCATTATGCGCAAAACAATCCTCATATTCAAAGTCTACTGAATTTAGTCAGTGTTCAGATTAATAGGGGTCTACATTCCTCACAATGTGATGCATACAACCACGCGCATAAAGGCTTTTATTTCCATCAGCAAGCTTTGTGAGAGTTGCAGCAGATGGAGTAGATGAGTATTGATTTTATTTTCTTTTTCTTTTTTTTTATATGAACATCGGTATGTTTATCAGCTAGTCCAGTTTTGTTTTTGACAACAACCACACCACACCACACACACACACACACACACACACCACACACCCACACACAACACACACACACACACACACACACACACACACACACACAGGCATCGCATTGATCACTGTTTTTGTTTTTTCTTTCTAATGAATGTGAGCGCAGAGCTGAGGAGGCACTTGGAAGCAATTCTTTGGACTTTTGTAAAGGAAAGTCAAATGCTTGGCATTGCACTGAATTATGAACAGGACAGAGGTTAGGACTGGTGTTGTTTGATAACTTTTAACTGTGAGTATATTTGTCACATGTACATGTTTCAGATGAGCAAACACATTTTAATATTTAAAAAAAATATATGTTTATCAATGTTTTATTTCATTTTAAAGGAGCAAATCTATCAAAAGCCTACCTGGCCCCCATGAGAAGAGGTAATTACCCCTTAAACATAATAACTGGTTGTTCCACTCTTGGCAGCAAAACACTTTATGCAGTCGGTGTGGCACTAATCTCCTCTCGGCTCGGGTGTGGCTAGTGAAATTGAACTCATCTTTCAATAAAATGTGGTAAATCACGGGTAATTTGATATTTAATGAGGGGGGCAATTACTTTTTTTACACAGGGCCAAGTAGGTTTGGCTAACTTTTTTTTTCCCTTAATAAATGAAATTGTCATTTAAAAACATTTTGTATTTATACCCATTACCTTTGTCAGATATTAAGCTTATTTGATTTGTAACATAAGTGTGACAAATATGAACAAAAAAACAAATAAGAAATCAATTAGGGGCAACATCGTACTCAGAGCACTATATACCTACACTGGTGTAGGACAATGCTGTCTTCAGTGGCTTTTTTCTTTCTGTCACTAGTCAGACTGAGATAGAGGAGAGAGACAGTTTCTTGCATCTGCCACATTTAAAATATTCTGAATCTAGAGAAAGTTGAGAAGGAAAAGCAGACCGAATCTCTGGAATTAGAGTGCGAAGAAGTTATTTAAAGGTGAAAGAAGGCGAGATGACACCAGCAGAGTACAGCGTTATTAAAATGAAATGCCACCAGTTTATTTACACATGCATCTCCTGCAAAACAAATCAGCAGAAATCCAGGTGTTGCTCTCTATCTTATTTATGGGTGCCCCAATTATAAGCCTACTGCCTGCTGGTTCTCAGTGTGCCGTATGTGCATGAAAATTAGGTGCACATGAAATATGGAAATAGTTAGTTTGCACCACGGACCCACTGTTGGGTTGTTTTCTGCATTGTTGTTTAATTGAAAGAGTTGTTGTGCCAAAAAAGCCAGCTGTATGGAGATGAGAGCAGTCATGAA